GCTTCCTTAATACTAAACCTATAACTATATGCACATAGTTCTATTTCCCCATCATCATATATAAATATATTTACATATGCACAAGGAATATCCTTTCTAAGAAGTTAAATGAGATTATCAAAAAGCATCTAGATCTAACTATCCATTTACAATAAACAGAGAAAACTGGGGAGCATTAGATGACTCATGCAATCAGCAGACCCAAGAATCTGGAAAATTTGACAAAACTAATGGCCTGCGTTGACAGAAAAAAAAGATCACCTTAATAGTTGAAGAAAATACTCACTAATGGTTTCTTCTTTTTTTTCCTTAAAAAAAAAAGGAAATCCAGCAGCAAACTAGAAAGGAAAGGAATTTCCTGAATCTGATCAAGGGCATCTATGAAAAACGTACAGCCAACAAAACTAGTGATGACACCTGAACCAGAACCTCTTGGAGACCGGAAGAACTAGCTGATGTTCAACTATTTCTCTACTGCTCTGATAAGGTAGGAGAAAAATATAGAACAAAATTCACACTGCTAAATAAAAAAAAGGTGGGGGGGACAAGAATTACTGACTGATACAGACTAGCAAAACCTGAGACAATTGCCTAAAGGTCCCTTTGAAACATGAATGTGAAGCTATTTCTGTAGGTCACTTTCTAGTCAAATAATTGATTGGCTTTAATATCACCGTGAGTCATCCGCTGCCTATGAGATCAAAGAGTCAAAGGTTACCCCAAAGCGACGATAAGAAGGGGCTGGAAGCAATGAGACTGCTGACAGCTTGGTAATATAAGCTGATGAGTACAACAGGGTTTCAACCGATGACATAGAATAATTTACATAAAGCGTGTGAAAAGGGAGCCCAATCCATCGTGTAAGTGTGCACCTAAAACACAATACAATATTATTTAAAAAAATAAGTCATTAACAGTGCCGAGAGTTCAGGGTCCAAGACACGGGCCCTACTAGATGGTCACTGTTTGATCCTATGACTTCATTGCATCAAAGTGAATTAGCCATGGAGTAGTGTGATTAAGAATTTAGACCTCGTTCGACAACCATTTTTAAAAGACTAAGCCTGCAGACTAGTCGATGCTGAGATCTGGGGTGTGTTTTATGTAAAGTTGATGCTGATAAATGTTATAATTGAATGAAAGACAGACTATTATTCTGAAAATAGTTAGACTTCGGAGTCAGACAAACCTAGATTTGATTTCAAGTTGCCCCACAAATAAAATAAATGAAATAAAATAAAAAAACTAGTGATGAAACTTTAGATACTTTCCTCCCGAGGTTAAGAAGATGGCAAAGATACGTACAATCATGGCTTCTATACAATGTTTTCCTTAAGGCTCTAGCTAGTAAAGTAACTAAACAGAGAGCTTTGGAGAGATGAGTATAGATGATCAAAGGTGGAAATCTGAATTGAACAATTAAAACGTTGCCAACTGATTCCCCCCAACCACGATGCATGCTGGACCCAATCTGGTGTTGTCCATGGTCTGTATCTGTGGTCTGTATTGCTCTGCTTGGTTTTTGCTTGTCCCTATTAGGATGTATCTCAGAGGTGTCATATCATTGGAGATCACCCTCTTGAAGTTGTGTTATATGTTTTTCCATTTTTCAATATATGAAACCCAAGATTGATAAACCTATAGAGACAGCAAGTAGAATAACGTTATGGAGGGAGAGGGTGTTCGGGGAACAGGGGGAAGGGGAGATGACATCAAGAAGTCCATGTAGAAAAAGAATGTTTGGAAACTGATTGTGGTAGCAGTTATACAATTCTGCCTGATATGATTGAGCTATGGAATAATATGATATATATTAATAAAAAATAATGTTAGAGGCAAAAATAAACAAAAAACTAAACCCACTGCCATCAACTCAATTCTGACTCAAAACCACCCTCCAAAGCAAAGTAGAACTGCCCCTTTGGGTTTCTGAGGCTGGACATCTTTACAGAAAGCCTCCTATTTCTCCCAGAAACAAAAGCAAATGAAATAAAATGCATAAAGTCTGGCTAGACCAGAGGAGGTACACTGGTACAGATAGGAACTGAAAATACAGGGAATCCAGGACGGATGAGCCCTA